TGGAAATCTACGTTATGTAGTTCCTTTATATTTGGATATTCTTTAGTGGTTTGAATGAGCTTTCGAATGATGTACTACTTGTCCAAATCGTATGTGGCGTTTGTCCTCTACGGCCACTTTCCCGAACTTCGGTAACTTTACATAGGGATAACTACTGAATGACTTGTAGCGGGACTGTGATATTTACATGGTATGTGCGGTATAATAATGTGATTATAATGGTATATGATAAGTGTCCGTCCGTCCTCGGGATTACCGATTCTGGCCAGATTACCGATAATATACGGTAATGTATGAGTATATGTGTATAAATGTACAGTACAAGTGTGAATATAACAGAGTACATGAATAGTGTAAATGTGATTAAATAAAGTATTGGCGCGAAAAAATATGAGAGAGAGTCACGTGACGAATAATGACTAATAACGGGTCTTAACTGTTGTTTAGGTTTACCGTAAATGATGTTCAACTGTACTAAACTATTATTTTCCTGTCAATATAAAAAGCACATAACTTTAGGTTAAAATATTACATTTCAAATAACATTATACTGTATTTTATATAATTAAAAGTTATTTAGTTTTTATGAAAAACATTTATTATAATTCATCGTAATAGCCTTTAAGCCTATGTGTGTTTAAATATAAATTATCGGTCAATTAGAACGAGATAACATTAGAAAATTATATTTAATTGCATTTTTTAAAATAAGCTTAAAAATTAAAAATGTTACAACAATTGTTAAATAAAAAATAAAACAATAATCACATCGCTAACAAGTGCCCGGTAATAATTTCTATCCAAATAATTTTTATGTTATATAATTACTTAATTATTTTACAACGTGCTTGATATTACTGTGTATAAATTAATGCTAATTTAATTAGTAATAAGAAATTCAAACTATTATTGTGCATATTACTATATAATTATAAAATAATATTTTCATTATTAATCCTGTTTTTATTATGATTGATATATAAATTAAAACGCATTCTTGGGGTAAAATTATAATTTAAATGAACTGTGCACTGAGAAATTAATTAAATAAACTTAAGAAGGTAATCAAATACAAAAATAACAGATAAACCCAACCACATGCCAACCAAACCGCCAATATTGGAGACAAACGATATAAAACTCATCTCGGGCAAATGTTCCACTATAACATCGGGGTAACGGCTGTGAATAAATTGTATATTGATCTCTTTGTTGTGACGCCCCCAAAGTGGTTGTGATTTTACAACTTGGAAATCATAGTCCCGGTGCTCACAGTTGGGACGACACATATACTCGCATTCAAATCTGGTGTGAATTTGATTGTTTTTGACGCATTCTGTGGTGTTTATATCAAGTTGTGTACGGCTGTGGTTGCATAGCATTTCCCGTGGGTGTATCATGGTAAAATAGTTTTCCCTGTATACTTCTCCATGAGTAACGTCATGATAAAAGCAATCAAACGGACACAGATTCTTAAGTGTGTCCATGTAGCATTGTGTTACGCAATCGCTTCGCATCTAGGTAAATAAATTTGTATTAAAAAAAACTTTTATTGACAACGAATAATTGATAAATTTATAGATAAAGATATTGTTATATTAAGTTAAAAATTAAAGAAAAATCATTAATAATTTTATGATGAAAATGTATTGTGTTTTATTATTATGGTAATAATTACATTGAATTACCAGATTATTTGCAGAATAATCCCACTCTGGCTGATCTACACCGTAGTTCATGCAGCGGGTGTTATAATGTGGTGGCAATAATTGGGTGTAGGTCTCCGAATATGCAACTGTAAGCTTAGTGCCCAAATTAAACTCGATAAAATTGTTATTTGACAATGTAGGTAATACATTAGGCGAGTGTAATGTTAGTTTAAATCCATACCGATTCCCATCGCAAAAAGGGATCGTCTTTGAATATGAGTGGAAACCAGTGTCTGTTGTATTGAATCTTCAAATTCATGTGCAGATCATATATCGATACGTCTTTCCATGTCTTGTTATATGCGCTGAAAAATGTCACACATTTTTGCATACCTGATGTTTTAATACCTAATTATTTTTGAGTAATCATACCAAATTTTAATAACTTTTTGATTTTTATGCATGTTTACGTATGTATACCTGCTGTATACCACTGTATACCTGAAAAGACTGTAAAATGCACCATATATAATAATATTATTAACTATTTGTAAATTATATATATTCTATATTTATATTTACCATTCTTACGGTTGATATGCAAGGATCTAAGCGGGAATTGATCAATGTTTATATAATCCTTGCCCTGCTTATCATAACCACGGATTACCATTCGATCAGGCATTCCTTTAAAGGTTGTTATAAAATAAAACTGTGCCTGTAAATCCACGCTTAAATTAGTCAATAAGGTGTTTATTGAATGTAACCAATCTATATTGTTACTTATAGCCATCTGATTGTCATGTAACTTCAGCATGTTACGAACAGCGTATTTATCTGATTTATTAAACTTGTTTTTAATAAAATAATCTTCATCGTAGTTAAACTTGTTCATATATCGGTTGAATACATCAAGATACTTTTGTCTATTGGGATGCATTTGACTAATCATGCTGGTTGATAGCCAGGCCGGATAACATAATGTAATGCCGGGTGGTTTACTGTAGACAACGTTTTTGGTACGGGTGTTGACAATAGTGCGGCCCTCACTGTACTGTATAATAAGCTCAATGGACTGGTATATTAGTCCAATACTACAGAACACCACCATTACGATCCTGATCAATTTACGGTTGTTTGCTATACGATTGCGTAGAGCCACTGTTATTTTGGTTTTTCTTACCGTTTTAGTTTTGGGATAATTTGACTTAGTACATTTAATCCATTTGGCCCAGTTAAACATTCGCGCTTGAATCATCTTAGCGTGTTTAATTTATAAAACAAAATTTAGGTTGATAGAATAATGAAATGCTTAATACTTCTAATTTAATGATGTTTATGCTAAAAATGATGGATCTACAGTATATTGATTCATAATTAACTTTTTAAATGTAATTATGGAAAATAATTTACATAACAAATTAAAATGTTTATATAAAACATATCTACCAACATAATGAAACAAAATAATCCATTTAATTGTTACAACTCTATTAAAATATAATCAATAAAACATTAATATTACATTATTTAATAGAAATAAAGAAAATAGTATTAAAGAAAGCAAAAACAACAATTACATTGATAATGGTATAAATAATTGTCTAACATAAATTATGTAATTTTAATATACATAATATACAGTATACCGAGACCGGCATTGTAAGTACTTACAAATTGCGTGCAATACACCAAGTACAGTTAACTCTCAGTATATAATTAATAAGGGTTTCTCATATAAAATGTAAATTTTATGAACTGTATAATAAAGTATAATAACTGAGTCATATGATAATAAAGAAAACAAAAGTGCTGGTGTTATTCAATCGGGTAATAATATGAGAAACCTTAATTGATTATATACTGAGAGTTAACTGTACTTGGTGTATTGCACGCAATTCGTAAGTACTTACAATGCCGGTCTCGGTACTATCAGATTTTACAATAACAATAACACGGTTACATCTAGATAATGTCATATAAATAATATACTTTATATGATATACTGTATAGTTGTAGCCAATTTTGTTAATTAAATTAATTTAACAATCAAGGAACCAAGTTAGTGCCTGCGATTTTTAACAGAAAAATTAAAATTACATTATTTTATATTAAAACATTACATTTCAAATAATATTAGACTATATTTTATATAATTAAATGTTGTTCAGTTTTTATGGAAAACTTTTATTATAAATTATAATTAATTATAACATTACAAAATTATATTTACTTGCATAAATGAGTATAAGATTGTTTTAAAAATTAAAATATTACCACACTTGTTAAAATAAAATAAAACAAATTAATTAATAATTTCGTCGCTAACAAGTGCCCGGTAATATTTCCTATCCACCTTGCCCATACCAATACGCTTGATTGAGTCCACAAATACCACGCCGCCTTTTAAATGTTTTGTTTGCGCCAACGTATCTAGATAAAAATAAATAAATATAACACTAAAAATCACAATTACATTACAATAAATAAAAACAAAATATATTTACCAGAAACAAAATTTTCAATCTCTACAGCGGACGCATGACAACCATGTTTGAGCATTACATAAGCCCGGGGCCAGTGAGTGCCGGCCTTGTTATTCACGCCCACCACAGCTGTCTCCTCGACGGCCGGGTGGGTCAGTAAATAGGACTCGATCTCTACGGGCGATATATTTATATATGTATTACCAATGCCTATACGTATCACTTCTTTGAGTCGGTCCGTAATGTATATATTTTCCCGGTCGTCGTAGCGGCCAATATCGCCCGTCCTATACCAGCCCTCGCCGTCAAACGCCTCGCGATAGGCTTTCTCGTTGTTTAGATACCCGGCAAACATTTTGTTGCCCCGGACACATATTTCACCATCTGTGTCGGGCCCTAACATCGCACCGGTAGTAATGTCTACAATTTTCACCTCGGTCCCCGGCGATACCGGACCGCAACTGCCCGGTATGAATGGTTGATCAACGTCGGTGCCCCGCACTATGAATAGGTACTCAGTCATGCCATAGCCTGTAGAAAATAATTGCACATTAAATGTTAATGTAGGTGATTATTATGACCAAATTGCATTACAGTATATACTACTATAATGTACCTTTAATTTATTATAACTACAAATAATTAACATATAATATCAAAAATACCTTCACGAAACACAACGCCGTATTTATCAATAATAGCCAACGATATACTGGCAGCTAATGGGGAGCCACCGGTGTTAACGAGGCGTAAACTCGATAAATCATATTTATCGCACAAATCACCCTCCACCAATTTGCGGCCAAACGAGGGGAATGTTGGCAAAAAATTGATTTTATAGCGCTCGATGGATCTAAACAACAACTCAACGTCAAAATCGGGGTAAATCACTACCCGAGCGCCCAGACATAGTTGCAGTGGTATAATAGATGTGCCGCTAATGTGACCCATTGGGTACGGGGCGCCGATCACGTGATCAGTACCGGTTCCCGGGTCGAGAAAGTGACCACGCTCACTAAGTAATGCAAGAATTGATTTGTGCTTAAGCATCACACACTTGGGTCTCCCTGTGCTGCCCGACGTGTGTATGAGTATAACGGGGTCCACATCGGGGTTAACGGGAAAGTGGGGCACTTTAGTCAGAGCCCGATCGCCGCCCTCAACAAGTAGCTGATCGTATGTCATGTGACAGTCGTGATGGCCGTCGAACACCACCACTAGCCTAATGTTATGTTTGTAATCGGATTGAAGTAGCCGGCTGAATTTATGCAAGTGGCTTGCTGAGCAAACGGCCACGGTTACACCGATGGACTGACACTCCTGGTCCACTTCATAGGCTTCAAACGTGGGACTGAGCGGACACACCGGTAGGCCCAGCAATTTGGTGGCCAATCGCAGCACAACGTGTGGTATTGTGTTTTGGCCGTAGAAAGCGAGTCGATCCGTACGGGCTATACCGTGCGCTAGTAGTGCTGTGGCCACCGCTTGGCACCTGTGCTTCAGAGCACCGATAGTCAACTGCTCGTTCGACTCGGCGTTAATCTGTAATGTTATGATAAAATAATGTTTTGCAATTTAAATATTAACAACATGAAATAATAAATTGGTAGTATATATTACCAAACATATTGACTTTTCTTCAAGCTGGCTCAGTTTATTCCAAATATATTCGCCAACACTTCGCTCAGACACGTCTACCACCGGTATGTTTGAGCGGAGTATTCTCGGCTTGGTCATTTTTGTTATATTTTAACAGTTTTACTTTTCTAAACTAAAATTATATTTATTTTCAATGTCTTATTTTATATGTTCAAATGTTGATTTTTAATCATGGGAACTTTTTGATAAGAAATTTATATCAAAATATTGATAAATCTAATTATGATATTTTTATCATTAAAATTTGGTATGTTCAAAATTGCACTATAATTAATTTTTTATAAATTATTTGTTGCATAATATATACTGAATTTTGTACTTATTTTTAAAATTTAAGTTTACAAAATACATGTATACTATTAATTTTATGGCATAAGATTGTGATAAGTTTATCACTCTTTAATTACTACAATATCTTATATTAAAATACTTATAGTAAAATGCTAAAATATAATTTATTACAGTCTTAAATAATACACAAAAAGTTATATGTTTTGCAAGTATTTAATACAAATGGCATTGCATTGGAAATTTATTGTAACATTGTAACCATTATTAATTTATTATTATGGATATTTTGACATTTAGCATATTAATAAGATGGTATCCTATTAGATGGATAACTTATTAGATGGTAACTCTAAAACAATTATAATGATCACATTTTGTCAATTTAATGACATTTTTAATAGATTAATCTGTCTTATGGATATCATAAAAATATGTATTAAATAAATAAATTTATATATTGATTAACTAAATTATATCAAATATTGAACTCGAGTTTATTTCTGATAAATAAAACAAAATTAAATATTAATTATTGATAGTAAAACAAATTTAAAGATAGTCACTAATAATGCAAATGCTATTTATTATCCATATTGCTCATTATAATAAACTGAATTTAACACGGTAAATTTATGAGCTGTACTTATTGACTTGTGGTTAAGCTAGTCTGTACTATTTGTTTTTTTTCAGTATAATCAATACTGCTAAAATTATAAATAGATTGCGTAAAATTGCTATATATCACTAATTATTAATTATTTTGTTTTATAAATTAATATTAACATATTTCTAAATATTTAATTATTGTTGTTGAATTAATCAATATTAATTAATTTTTTATTGTCTATAATTGCTTTGTTATAGAAAAATAAAGCTAATAATTATAAATACTACATTTGTTATTTTTCTATTAAATATAAGATATTTTATTAAATGTACTGTATTTTTAATAGAAATAATTACTATTCATAAATAATCAATATTTAAACAAAATGTGACTTGGTAAACATATTTTTGATTAAATTCAAACTAATGTCAAATGTCCCAATTAAATAATCTCCAAGCTGTTTGGGCCATAAACCGTAAAATAAACCCACATTATTCAAATAAATCTATTCAAACCACAACCTTTATGTCATTACGTCGTAAATTGATCAAGATTATTATAACATCCATATGCCTTATTGGTTTAATATACCAATTATCACAACTAATACAACAGTACAGTGAGGGTCGCACTATAATCAACACCCGAACCGAGTACTACAGTTATAGTAAACTACCCGGTGTTACCGTATGCTATCCAGTGTGGCTTTCATCGCGTAGGGTCATTCAAAAGTACCCAGATCGACAGAAATACATTAATGCAATCAATAGGTCATTGCAAGATAATAATGATTATAAAGGGTTAACTCGGGATAACTTTACAATATTCACCGAGCTGAATAAAAATTGGAGGGAGATCACGGAAAGGTTGCTCTGGGAAATACCTATGCTCAAACAATGGGATGAATTGAGTGCGAGTATTAATGCCGATTTTACCAAGAATAGGGCTAACCGCTGGGCGAATATGGACGTTTCCGGTTACGATAGAGATGGACGCGAGTATATTGGTAAAGAAATGAACCCGGTTGAATCTGTTTATCTATCTCAAAAGGGTAAGTTAAATAATTATTTTTTAAATATTTTATCTATTAAATAAATTAAGTTTATTTTTAAATAATGCTCAATTGTGCTGTCCTAAACAACACAATTATTACTTTGAAATTTCACTAAGCTAAACGTTAGATATTTACCAGAAATATTAACTTTCCTATTTGAAAAATTTAATAATTTACTTTTCAAATAAAATTATAAACTTTATTTAATAACCAGCCCAGCGCAAATGCCTGACATTTTTTAGCGGATATAACATGACGTTTCGGAGGCTTACATTATTTAACACCGAGATCAATTTAATCATTGATTACAATCGCGATTGGTTCCCTGTTATAATAAGAGATCTATCACTATTTGACGAGTACTATACATTTTGGGTGACATTACACTCACCCAACGTATTGCCCACAATGAACAACATTGATTTCATCGAGGTCCCAGTTGGCACATTAGCTACATTTGCCTACTCGGAGAAGTTGGTTAAATTACTGCCCCCTTATTATAATACTAATTGTCAAAACTATGACGTGGATTCAAATGACGCCGATTTATCAGCGAATACATTAGTAATATAAATTAATTAAATTATAGTTGCTATTTTATTTAACTTATATTTTGTATTTCTATTTAATACATATGTAAATATTTTTACCATTTAAAAATCAAATAATATTATCGGGCACAATTGTTTAAACTACAAACAAGAATTTCCTTAAAACAATTTTTATTTAGATGTTTTTTATTTACTTTTCTTATAACATTCATTTTCATTTTCATTACCTTGCTCATTAATAATTTTACTAATTCCATATTAGATGCGTAGCGACTGTATGGCGAACTGCTATATAAAAACATTACAGCGAATGTGCAAGTTTAATTGTTTTTACGCTAGATTTAATCTGGACTTTCTATATCGTCACAAGTATTTCGCATTAAACCCGTTGGAAATGCTATGCGAAGAGACATTCACGCGGGAGGATATAAACCGCACGGTTTGCGCCACTCGTCACAAAATAAACACGTTGTTTGAATGCGATCGCCGGTGCCGTCCCAACTGTCAGCACCGGGACTATGAGTTTTATGTCTATAAAACGCGGCCAATGGAACC